CCAGTATGCATTGTCTCAGCCTTTAACAAACATACTTAGTAAATTTGGATTCAGCAGAATCAATTTTGTTATGTTAATATAAGTTATAAGATTTGCCAATTATCAAACTTGAAGAGGAAAATAGATTTACATAACGTTTGCAGTATTAAATGCTAACATAAAATTATCTTACTCTTTAACAGTTATTATTTTTTATTGAATAATTCATTGATATTAGGAATAAAAATTGTTTAATGTAGTAGAAGACAACTTGAATGAAAAAACTAATGAAAAATTTTCAGATAAAACACCATTTTATTAACATAATGTTGCCATATAAACGCAATACAAAAGAGCATAATATAATAAAAATGGATTTATCGTTTTCTGTGAAGTTGCAAGGTGTTCTTGCGTTTCCAACATGCTCTCCTTGATCCACCGGTTGTCTGTGAGAAACCATGACCTTTTCCAAGACCACGGGACTTGCGACCAGCAGATGTCTTTCCACGCAATTCTCTGTGCTTATGCACTGCATTGCAGATCCAATTGATCTTGGCATCTCTACGGATTGCCTAAAACGAAAGGAAAATAGTTGTTTTCAATTAATAAGAATAAAATAATTGCTTATAAAATTAATAAACAACTCACGGGGTGTGCGGTATCAACAGTGATAACTTCGTAGAATTTGAAAGTCGAATCTTGTCCTACCCAGTAAGAGTTAAGGACACGTAGACCTCCACAACGACGTCCAACTCTTTCCTATGTTACAGAATAAAAATAATTTAATATCAAATTACCATTAACTGACAACCAATAAGATAAAGTCATAATAGTTTATCAGAAAACAAAATAAAGAAGTAATTTCCCTTTTGTTAATTATTATTATTAAAAAGTACAATTCAGATAGCCAAGGGAACAAAATGTATTTTTGTCTACATTGAAATTATTCAGCGACTATAACAACAAAACACAATTTATCATCATCATTGCAATTTCATATTTTTRTATTCTATATTAAGATTGATATTAGACAGCCTTTTTTTGATAGGACAATTTTTAAAGTTTAAAGTAAACCTTCTTTTAAACTCTATATTTCAGGAGAGAGCTAGACAGAAACCACTTATTTATGGGCTTCATCTTACCTACAGAATAACTTATATGAATGCTAAATATTATAATTTTTAATATTTTTATTGATTGAAATAATACGCCATATGTCACTTTTTAAGATTTGACATTTTTAGATGGCATATATTAGTTTAACATAACTGACAACTGATATCGGTGCATCAACAATGGGATGACTATTGAGGTTATGATTCACACTTTTCGAATAACATTTACAAAAATTATTGTTATAATTAAAACTAAATTTCAGATAGCCAAGGAAACTAGAATGTATTTCTGTCCACATTATTATTATTTCAGTGATTTACTAACAAAACACAAAGTATCATCATAATTTTCTATTTATCATAAATCCAATACATTTAACATAAAGTGTTAAACAAAAATAAAATTATAGTATCTAAATTTCAGATAGCCAAGGGAACTAATTATGTATTTTTGTCCACATAATTATTCAGTAGTTATTAACAAAACRCAAGTATCATCATAAATCAAACACAATTTTTATGTTAAGCTAAACAAATATTTAAGCATAATTTATTTCTCAATTTCAGATAGCCAAGGGAACAAAGTATGTATTTTTGTCCACATAATTATTCAGAGGTTATTATCAAAACACAAAGTATCATCATAAATCGAATAAATCGAATGAATTTTGTATTTTAAGTTCAAGAAATATTTAAATATTAGTTCTACATTTCAGATAGCCAAGGGAACAAGTATGTATTTTTGTCCACATTATTACTGTTTCAGCGATTAATTCACAAAACACAAGTTATCATCACGATAATCACCATATTATTTGCATTTAATGCCATTACATTAAAAAAAATAACTATGGAACACCCAGACATTTTTATTTAATTTTATTCTTGTGTAAAAAAATAGAGGGTGTATAAGAATTATAATGTGAATCCTCAGACATCCAAGGAAGATAAATCCTTCACAGAATGTCATCAGCATTTATACTCATTTATCATCAGTGGATTAAAAAATGCTAATGATTCAAAACTTTTTTTTTTATGATCATTATTTTAAAGTGTTGTCCAATATGAATAATTTTATAAATTAAATATTTAGAACAATTATTTAATATTAAGTTTTCAGACATCCAAGGAAGATTAACCCTTCACATTTAAATCAGTAGTTATTAACACATATTTGTCATCATTAAACTTTTATAGTAATAAATATAAATTTGAAATGATAAGTTATCTCTAATACAT